TTTGAATGTGAGCTGCACAAATATACAAAGGACAAGTAGCGTACACTTTCAAGAGACTCCGTGGAACGCAGTTGGACAGTAAAGACAACCAACTGCGAGAACAGGGCTCCCGGCTTTCGTAAGCTGCAAAAAACGTATTAAACATTCGAATCGCGTTTTAGTGGCGACCTTTAACTAGTACATCAATGACGTATTAAATTAAGCACGAATTGAGCGAGTTACCACTTGCTTATAGCTTTATCGCTGAATTAAACTGGACAGCCTACTTGATTGCTTAAGTCACGCCTATCTATCGCCGAGCGGGAAACCGGCTACACTGAAGCTGCTAAACTGTAGGAAGTCAGTAATGGGGGAATTTTTTATGACGAGCATTCAGTAGGCGCATTTCTAGTGTTTGAAAGCATAAAATTGTATGTCTCTGTACTTTCTCTTAAGTTTCTAGCTTTGCAAAAGCTCACGTTGTACTACTCCCAACCGGCTTTTGTGCAGAGAGGGCGCCACACCATGTCCTGGTACGAATATTTTCAATCTGCGTAGTTCTATTATTCCTTTTCCCGTTGGTTTCGAATAGACCTGCATTTGTCGCACGTCTATGACCTCCTGTGGTGTGTCTGTCCAGCACTGAAGTCCACGAGCACCCCCGTATTGGCTTTAAGGCTCCACAGCGATATGCAGATGTCGCGACAGAGTGTTTCGAACTCAGTGGAGTGCTGCTGGATCTACGCTGGCGATCTGATAATTTATGCCCCGAATAAATGGATACTCACGCTAACTATGGCCAAATCTGACCATTCCCGTGTTTCCCAGCAGCCACGCTTTACAAAGAACTCGTGCTAAGATTCAACCTATCAGTTTTCCTAACTTTTTGCACAACACAGTCGGTGTCCTTGCAACATGGCAAATTTCCTAGCTACTGCATATTGTGTGTGCTTATTTGTGAAATTTAACTTATTATTGATATTGAAGTGCGCTGGGTTTCTTTTGAAACCTGAAACGCACCGTGAGCCCCCGAGCGCGGATGCGTCCGCATCCCCCACGTGCAACAGGCTGATGAGTAATAGCATCACTAATTTTATTATTAGAAATTTGAATCAAGGCGATGTAAAAGATTAGGGAGCACTTCGCTGGATTCGTTGTTATTTCAGCAATTAGAATAGTGGTGACCTGTGGTCCTGTCCATTGTGACCGATCGCGCTCCCCATAATCCAAGTTTGGCGGAAACATTGTCGAAGCCACTACACATTTACTTTTCAGCATTTTTTATTTTTAACTATAATGAGCAGGAAATGTAAGCTATACGCGCAGCATACGTGCCGGCCCCAGTTGCATGAGCCGTCGCCACCAGGCAAGGATGCCGGGTCACTCAGGGCACACTGTACCTTCTTCCTCTGCTCATCAACAACGAAACATATGGCTTACCCTTTAAATATGAACAGCTTTATTGAAAGCATTGGCAGCCAGAGGCAGGCCATCGCAATAACGTTCGTTATGGTGCTGAACCAAACCATTTCATTCTTGCAGTGAAATTCCAGCATACCGAGCCAGAACCTAAGTAGGAAACTCTTCTGACTTGCCGCCAATCTTGACGCATTTTAACCTTTCGTAGCCTTTGGGCTTCATTTCCCTCCCTACGATAGTGTGCATTGGGTTGTCCAACAAGGCGTCCCCGTTGATCACAGCAAAAACTGAACCAAAAACGAGGGGAAGAGAATAAATAGCACGAGTCCATTCACAAACATACCTACAGTCAATTTCTTGTATAGACATGAGGCCAGCGGGGACCAGCGAGCGAACCTACTTGGGTCGCGTCCTCACAGTGCGCCGCCGACACGGATTCTGCAGCTCGACGGAGAGCGGCAAGTTGCCACCCAGCAGCAGCAAGAATGACATCAGTTTAGATATTCGTGGCGCATTGGGGATGGACCTGCCCTTTCTACAGTTCCGGCTGAAACACGTGACTGCCCTTAAGAAGCATCTGCAGACACTGCGCCATCCTCTCCACCGTTTCTGTCCACTCAAGTACCCAGTGGTCATTGATGCATCTTTCCTCTCATTGTATTCCCAGGCGACGCAAACGGCCCAGGCGCCAGAATCGCCGTCGAATAGTTCCGCCATTTACGCCTTTTCAAACGTGCTTTACAGGGCCCCAAACGCCCCTGCGGATGCCACCTGTCGGGGAGATAATGACACCACTCTGCCTTGGCGTCGGGTCCCCGGTGTTCACCCACCAGACGGGCTGACGTTTTGGGCTGATGTCCGTTGCTTGCTGATGCAGGTGCTTGTGCAGGGTTCCCTTATTTGGGTTCCTGTGCTTCTGGTGTGGATATGGCGGCGGTACTGCACCACTCGCCGCCGCAAGATCCTATTCGTGCTTATTGTTCTTTCCCTATTTCTCTTTCCAATACGCCCAAGACCTGGTATTCGCCAGTGGCATGGCTGGAGGAACATCCACCGCTACCACCGCACAGCCGCTATCATTGAGGGGGCTGAACACTTCCCCCCGAGGGAACCAACTATCTACGCAGTTTTCCCACATGGAATTGTGCCTACTGCCCCTGTGAGCATGATAGACTGATATCAAAGCCGAGCGGAGCTCATCTTAACAATCAACGGGGTGCACATGCGCACATTGCACCGCTGTTTGCTGGGCAAGTGCATCTGGACGTACATTTGTGGGTGTTCAAAAGTCTGTTTTGACTTGTTCTGCAGGCGGTGATGGCAACTGGGAGTTTCGGAGAACTCTTGGGGCACTTTCGCCTCACTGCGGCCTCGGTAGTGCGCTGGTGCCTCGTCTACGGCCAATTGATATTCTTGTCGGACGCGATCCCAGCAGACAAGTCAGTTTTTGGTGAAATGCCGGCTGCAGCACTCCTTTCCAAGTAGCGTAGAGATGCAGCATGGTTTGGTGGGAACTTGTTGCGGGTTTGGATTTGTGTCAACAGGAAAGCGATGAAGCAAACTCTCGAAAAAGGCTCAAATCTACTCGTTTCACCCGGCGGTATTGCGGAAATCTACGAGACAAACTCATCTGAGGTGTGGGCTGTTTCACTGCCGATTTTCCCTGTCTTTAAATTGCTTTAAGGCATGAAAACGAGAAAGCACTGCACTGGGCTTTACATGACAACAAAACATGATAAGACGTGTTATATACTTGCCTGTCCTCACAGCAGAGGCCTTCGACCGTTTGCGCTTGCTTCAAGATGGCGTGGAGGCAAAAGAAATTATAGGAATCACAAATTTCATGCAGTCAATCCATGGCTCCCACACAAAATACAGCAGGGATATGATTTAAGTATTTGAATTCCATCACCTTTTGTTCAGTTCCCCCCTTGCACTTGCCTTCCGTGTGTTACAACAGGAGCGCCTCCACCTACAGGATCGACTAGGCATTGTGCGACTCGCGATGCAAACGGGGGCAAAATTGGTCCCCGTGTACTGCTTTGGCAACAGTCAGGCATACCGCCTACCTTGGGGAGTGCGCTTTCTGCAGCCGTTTGCCAGGTAGGTGTCGACGTTAAGAATCTCACAGCGCCAGGTGAAACAGGCAGATAGCGGATGCTTCAGAAGAGCTTCTGGAAAGGCATCATGTTTTGAGCGGAGAAATGCCAGTGCACTTCAGCCAAAACGAGACTGCCTTTCTCCTGGTGCCCCACAGAACAAGCACAACGGACTTTAAGGCTGTGTCCGTCTAATGCAGGCTGTTGCGCATTGCGGTCGTCTCCTTTTACGGCCGCTTTGGGCTCCCTGTAGCCTACCGCGTGCCACTGCTCTACGCTATTGGGCGCCCCTTACAAATGCCACAAGCAGACAAGCCCACGAAAGCGGTACGTCATCAATCTATCCACGCCATTACTCCAGCCTTTAGAGTACCTTTTGTGTCTCCGTAGCACCTGCTCCCTGACTAGCTCGTGAGTTGCCCTCTGTCTGTGCGCAGGAAGTGGTGGCTGCTCACAAAGTGTTTGTGGAGGAGGTCCGACGTATTTTCGAGACGTACAAGGGCGTATACGGCTGGAAAGATAAACAGCTCAAGATCCTCTGAGCAGCTGCAGCCAGAATGACTCCTGCAGGGTTGCTTGGGTCCTCTAAGAGGCCCTCCACGCCCCATGTGTGGGCCGTGTTTGGTTTGCATGAAATTTATTGTCACACTCAGCCAGATCAGCCTGGCAATGGTTTTGACACTTTACGGAAGTGGTTAACTCCCGCAGGTCTTGGTGCCATCTTTACACCTGTTCACTTGAAAATCATGCAAAAGCAACCTTTTACTTCAGTCCATGAGACGTCGCTATAATATAGCTCAAACAGCGAGCAGCTACCCAGAGACGATTCAGTGCTAAGCTCAGGCTTCAACCATCTTGCCTTCGTTTCTTTGAGCCTGCTGAAGTTTCAGTGGACACGGCAAAAGTGCTAACCGACAAAAAGTACGAGGATATGTTTAAAAGGAGAGTAGGGGTGTCGGCATCACACAAGCGGTAGGTCGCGCCGTGCTGAACTGTGCATGTAGGACTCAAAGGACCACCCACAAACAACCAAGCAGATCAGGTAGGAAGCGGACATCAATAAGAATATTAGGCGCAAATATAAGCAGGATCAGTGCAGCAGATGGGCTGACAATACACACTCTAAAGGTTTCTTGGATCACTGGCACTGAGTGACGACGTAGTCGTCGCCATATAAGTCCTTTAAACAATATACAGCGCCAGCTAGCCCGTTGATAAAAACCGGAAGATCACAAGGTTTTTTGTATCCTGGAGTGCAAAAAAATTGTGAGTAGTCTCCTACGATGTGCCAGTCGTTACGAGAGAGCAGCGACAATAAGCCCTTCAAGGAGCTCTTCATTCTGTTGAACGAAGCACGTATGGCTTCCGCTGCTACGTGAGCTGATAATTCAAAGGCTCAATCATGCGACAGGGAGAGAAAGGAAAGCCGAAGATAGCCAACAGTTGCTGACCACGAGCACCTTCCCTGAAGCAGCAGCTCCTCCCCAGCTACCGCTGCAGTTGTTATTGCTCCAGCTGTTGCTGCTGCTGCTGCTGGCGGTCGGGAAATACTGGCTCGCTCATAAGGGGGTTACAGTGGGCATACTTCAGGGCGAGTTGATCCCAACCTTTCGGGAATTCCCTCTCCGAGCCCCAGCGCCCATCTCCCCTGATGGCCTGCAAAGACAGGCGGAGGCTCTCAGCCGAATACTTGGGAAGCCTGAGAGGCGGACGGGACCGCCTGAACCACCGCAGCGCCAGCAATTGCGACGGTAGAGATGGCCGCCACAAGCCCTGCATAGCAAACCCAAGGTAAAATGGAACACCACTGAAGCAAGGCTAAAAGCTACACACATGTAATACTGAAATTACAGATTCTAAGCACAGGTTACGTGTTGTGAGGCCGTGATGCCAACGAGACACAGGGCGACATAGGCTTAGCGCTTGCTGGCACTAAAGTGGTACTGGGCCTGGCAGCTGTAGGATCCCTTTGAATTGCCGTGTAGGCAGAAACACCCTCAGTGAATGCACCCGCACCCCTAACCAAATTGCTGCTCTTCTGGGAACTAATTATTTTGGTGGAGGTCCCTCAGGTGGAGGCACCCAATATTAGCGCACTGGGCGCAAGTTTCTGTGCATCTACTTCTGAATTAATTTCTGCTAAGCTGACTACGCATGAAACTTTACGCTCCGCTGTCTGCGTCTCTAAATCTCGTGCCCTATCCATCTAATCCTTTTTTTGCCTACACCAAAAGCCGCGAGGATCGACAGTTCAGGGAAGCGTCTGCTCACCTGAATTGAGCGCCTCTCTGTCCAGACTTTCGGCCCCCCGTGTTTCAAGAAGTGGTTCGGGCCTGAGCTGTCGCGATGCAGCTGCAGCAGCTCCTCCACCTGTCGCGGCTGCAAATTTTCCAGAGGCGTCTCTGAACGAGCTCCCGAGGCGAACACGAACGTAGCTTGTGGCTGCGCGTACTTGTCGTGCTGCACCACAACTTTTACCTGCATACGAAAACTGAAACAATTAGCAGAATGTGTGCTAACAAGTGCAATTGACCAAAATTTGGCCGGGGAAACACTCGAGCTAGTCAAGAAGCTGACGTCATGGAGAAGAAGACAACTGCCGAAGCAGCTGCTGATATCTGGGGCCGTCGTGAAGCCGCATTTGCATACATGTAGAATCTACTGGTGATCATGTACACAAATTCTGCCCATGCACACAGTAGTTGGATCCGCCACTAGCGCACACAGCCCGTCAAACATATCTCGTACACTAAACATAGGAGACAACCAAAGTGGCAGAAAGACGAGCTTACACATATACAAGCCTATCCAAGCTGAATGCACACTGAGGCAGGTAGACAGCCTAGACACCCACGTCCGCACACAAGGGCTGCAAATACATTACCGAAGAAACGCCTCAACTCCAAAAAACTCGTTGATTACCTGGGGATTGCGTTGCTCCCAGCTAGGCAGCAGATGCTTCAAATAGAACCTCACGCCGTTGCTGCTGTAGCCTGTCTCACTATACCGCAGCAGCACCTCCTTCAGCTGCCACACTCCCCTTTCGCACATTGCTGTCGACGCTGCTCGCGAGTAGCTGGCAGCGTGCTTCTCATGGGGCCTCCTGGGCTTTAGGGGCCGCTACAACTAGGCCTGTATCATTACGGCCATACGTGGACCAGATCACCCGTGACGAAAATATGTGTGCAGCAGCAGGCGATGCTGTGCTGCAGCCGATAGTTATGTTTGCAGGTCCTGTACTGTACTGGCGTGCTTCTACTAAACTGTCTTGCCACGGTGCAGGAACACGACCCAGGAAAGAGGCCGCCTCTCTGGTTCACTGTACCGGTCAAAACAGTCCGATCGCTACTGTGTCGGACCGACGTAAGACAGGCTATGATTCTGGCTCGTTGCCAGGGCGAAAACTTTTGATAGTGGTGTGCAAAATGTCCATATTCACCTGGAATCACTGGAAAGATAAAATTTGGAGAGGCAAACATGCTTGTGGTATTCTCGACGGCAGCTTGTGGCAGCGGCATGCAGACCCAAACAGTTAGAACAATCGTGCGGCAGCACTCAGATAAATTGCGAAGAATTCTGTAGATTTTGTTATTAAAAATAAATTCAGAAGACATGCCTTCCATGCCAAGATTACCCAGCCAACTTTCGAGAGGCTAAACAGCGGAAGGGGAGAATCCGTGTTATAGCGATACGCGCAAGAGCACATATTTATTTGGCTCTTCGCCGTTGGAGCGGTCCACAAGTAGATTTTTGGGAATAATATACTACCAGCTGACTACAAGCTCTTCGTTGGCTGGCGCACAGACGCCAACAGTCCACCATGACGCGCCCCAGAGCACTGCTCGCGCTGCTGCTAACGCTCACGCTCACTGTTGCAAGTGTGGCCGCTGAAACACAAGACGATGACTCGCCCTTCAGCTACGTCACTTCGGTACGTAGGAACTGCTAGCCACTGGAGCAGCACAACGGCGATCACTGCTGCTGCATCTGCTGCTGCTGCCCATACTCCTACACTTGCAGTGGTACTCCTATTTCGCAAAGCTGCTGCCTCTAGAGTGCCTCATGGTATTCCTTAGGATGCTTATACTGAATTTGCTTTTATCGCAATCAAGTTCCCGAAAGCACAACACAGTCTTCGAAAGTCTCATCAGTGAACTGATGGCGACACTCTCTTCCCTTGCCGCTGCCATCAAGAAGAGCTTTGTAAACATAGAGGGAAAAATCAAGTTAAAATAAGATGGACTTTTCACTTTCGCTGGGCGCGCATGTACCTGAGTTTGCTGCGTGTGTGCGTATATCCCTCAGAACCTGCTAGCTCAGCTATTGGTACTGCTGGTGCTATTTTTCGGAAGTTGCATTGGTGTGTGCTGCCTTATGAAAATAGACACACCAACTATGTTCTCTGACAAGCCTCTGGTCATCAACAAGGAGTACTAGTCCTGCGCCCAATTTGAACTGGCGGCCGCCGCCTGCAGCAGCAGGTCCGCGCTGCTTCGCTGCTGCTGCTGCAGCTGTTGTTACTGGTTCTTGTTTCGTCGACATTTGTCATGTGGCAGTGCGCGGCGATGGCTTTGCTCGACGTGTTGTGCGGATTTCCCCCGAAGTTCTTTTTATGAGAGCTGAGGATTTCATGAGTTGCTGGTTGGTGATCCTCTCAAGCCACGACAATGCCGCATTAGAGAAGCTGAAGCTGACTGCAAAGCTTCTAATGCTTTTCCTCACTGCCTACGGACCAAACCAGTTAAGAGGCAGACGCCACACTATTCAATAGTCTTAGTGGTGGAAAATTACAATTATCGCAAATGCTGAGAGGTCGAAAAAGTAGAGTTTAGACAGATTGACTCATACAAGCACCAACACAGCTAGCTGCTCGACAACCATTCCGTACAAGCCCGGTAGCTAGGTAGGCGGGGTGCAGACCGACGAGAAATCTCTTAGTACTTATGAGAAAGCCAAAATGTGCATTGAAGCACGAGGGGAGAACTGTGTTTGCCTGGCCATGCCCATTTCATTATTGACTATGGTACTTTGTGCCCAAAGGGTGCCTGTGGACAGACTCCGTGAATACACGCATTTGAAATGATGAACTGTGTTTGCCTGGCCATGCTCATTTCATTATTAATTATGGTACTTTGTGCCCAAAGGGTGCCTGTGGACAGACTGCGTGAATACACGCATTTGAAATGCTGCATGCGGAATTTTATAGCGGTAGACATTGAGACCCTCTCCTGATATGTGTAGGTTGAAAAGCCTACTGCGAATGTTTCCGGATAGAAAAGAAGTATGACCGGGCGCCAGGAGCTCATGACACGGGGGCTGGGAAGAGGCCCTCCTGTCAAGTCTTACGGTAGCTTTGCCTTCGGCTTTCCTTCTTCAAACAGTGAATTTCCCCCTACTCGCTCAAACGGCAACAATTTACGCTGGCGATAAAGGAGGTGCCGGTTTCATTTATGCAGAGCCAAGTACTCAGGCTTTCTGGTTCCACTGTTCTTCACAAGAATAGGCCGACCGCGCATGTGGTATTAATGTGTGCTGCTCTTTATCCACGATGTCTGCACGCGGCTCTGGAGGCTGAATGACCACTGGCATGAGCCGACTGCTTGACACATTTCTTCTCGTTGCATGCTTTGTTCCTCAATAAAATAAGCTCACCTGAGTTGGGAGTTGCGGCTAGTCCGGTCGTCGCCTGCTTTGGCCTGGGGCTTCGTCTGTTCATCTAACTGTCTACAAAATGGTGATGGTCAGCCAGTTATACTGCTCAGTGAGCTCGACGCTCGCCTCCATAGTGTCTGTGCATTCGAGGTTGCGGGACAAACACTCGACTCCTAGACTGGCTTATTGCAGAAGAGATATGCAAGCCCTAGTGCTTTTCACAGTCCACACAACGGACTATTTTAATAATTGGAGCCCGCTTGAGAGCAAGAACATTCGGGTAGAAGCCGTCAACGGGAAAATCAAGGAATGTGTGCACTCAATCTGAGAATCCGCTCCTTGCAGTAGCACCCTAGATGAATTCAGGTCCTTTATGACTTGTATCCTTTTGACATTAGCTTAGATTTTAGCGTAAGAACATCTGAAGAAGTACAAGCTGCTTGTGGGCCCCTTGGGACGAACCGCTTGTGGGCCCCGAGTCACTGTGGGGCCCCCCAAGAGAGTACCCCGAGAGCGTTCATGACGGTGGTTTTCTCAATTTGAATTAGTTGTTGAGATTGGCCCACATGCATCCTGCAGATACACATTTTGCGGCATGGTTGGCTCATTCGCGGCGCTGGCAGCTCTGAAGAGGGAAGACGAGAGCTGTCCACGCAAAGAAGAAGCACCATAGGCGCTACAAGCAAGCGACAGCTGGTCACTGAGCTGCGAAGGCCAAACTTCTGCTGCCAGTGCATGCGACCAGCATGTTTTTTGCCGTATTTCCCCAATTACCTTTCCGTGACGCCTTTGAGGCGCAGACTGCAGCAAACTGTCTCCACAACCAATGAATGGCGCGGCCCAGCCCAGCAGCGGCCTTTAGCGGCGCGGGCGTAGCCCAGAAACTGCGCAGCTCCTGGCCATGGGGCTCGGTGGGGGCTCCCTCTGGATCCTGCTGAGCTCCCCCAGAAGCCAGCGGACAATGCGAGGCATTGTTTGCAGAGCCAGCCGTGGCTGGCGAGGCGTCTCTGCTGCAGCCGCTGCAGCAGCTCTTGCACCGGAGAGGATGGCGTTTTCGCCTTCATGTGGCGCTGCCGCGGTATTCGGTGCTTGCCCAGGGCCCCTGCAAGGGCTCGGAGGCCGAGGTAGGCCTTCTATCCCCTCGTGGAGATTCGCTCATCGGCTCTGTGCTGTTCCATCTGCTGCAAAGAGCCCTGCTACTTATGCGACGGCGTGGACAGTCTATCCCCAAGGCCTCTTCGGCTGCGCTCACCAGCCACCTGCACGTTTTGCTGCGTGCCTGTCGACACTTGCAAGTAGCAGCAGCAGCAGCAGCAGCAGCAGTTCCCCGTCCAAACCCTGCGGAAACCAACAGGGGGGGTCCGGAGAGCCTCGTGCCGCCTGCAGCGGGAGCGAGAGCAGCAGCAGCAGCGGCAGCAAAAGCAGCAGCGTCAATGACAGCAGGGACGACAGCAAGGCCAGCAGCAGCAGCAAAAGCAAGCATTCCGAAATGCCAGGGCATGGGGAAGCAAATGAGAAGGCAGCGAAATTGTGGGGGCTTTTGTCCGCTGCGCTGTGGCCTGCGAGCAGCCCCCTAAAAATGCGCGTCTTGGCTGCAGTGGTTTCGCTGATTGCTGCAAAGTGTCTGACCATTGCTGCTCCTGTTGCACTGGCGGGCCTCGTTGACCACTTTACACAAGCAGCTGCAGCAGGCGCGCAGGCTGGCATAGCAGCACACGCAGCACCAGCAGCAGCAGCAGCAGCAGCATCTGCTGCTGCTGAAGGAATCGCAGCTGCAACCGGAACAACAGGAATAACAGGAGCTGCGTCTCTGTTCCATCCAGCTCTTCCTGTTGGACTTGTTGTTAGTTATCCGCTAGCAAGACTTGGAGCTTCCGGTACTTTGTTCTCTGAGTTGCCGAGTGTTGCTGCTGCTGCTGATATGCTTCAGAAGCCGCGGGTGCTGTTCCACAGATCTCCTGTCGTTGCTGCCCCTGCTGCTGTTGTTTCTGTGATGCAGCTTTCACGGAGCTGCGTACTGCTCTTTTCGCTCGCGTCTCGCAGAGAGCTTCTCGCGAGTTGGCTTTGAAGTCATTCTCTCATATGCACGCCATTTCTTTTAGCAGCAACAACAAAGTACAGCCGCTGCCAGTATTGCTATTTGTGCCCTGCGAATGCCGCTGCTGCTGCCACACTTGCTACTGTGACTTCGGAAGCAACTTCGGTCGTATCGTGTTTTGAGCTGCTGCTGCAGATAGGCGAGATGACGGCTGTCCTTACTCGAGGAACGAAGGCCATTTCATTGCTCCTGAATGTTCTGCTCTTTCAGGTTAGCTATGCATCGAACACAGGCGACTGTGTGATGTTTACCGCCACGCTGTAACCTTGCCAGGGCTAGCGATTCTGCTGCTGCTGTTGATATTTTTGTTGTAGGTGGTGCCTACAAGTCTGGAATTCTTGATGGTTTTGGCTCTCCTTAAGCTGCGTGTTGGCTGGACAGTAGCGGCGACTGCTGTGGGAACAATATCGGCCTACTGGGCCTTTACTGCAGCGATTACGACGCGCCGAGCAAAGCTAAGACGCGAGATGAATCGCCTTGAGGGGCTTAGTGCAGGTAAGCAGCACGAAGTAATGCTGTGAAGCAATGCTATTGAAGACATTGGCGTGTGCACGAGGTCCATTCCCCACATGTAGGCTGAGAGCTGCTCAACCCTCAGAGCTTGTTCCGTAATGTAGAAGGGGTTCCAGGCAGCCCTAGCAAATTCCTCAATCTATTTTGCTAGTTGGGCTGCTTGCCCTTGCACGGTAGAGGCTGCTGCCGTCTGTTGCACCCGCATTAGCTGCTCTTGCTAAAGGTAGCGTCGGTGAGGCGGCGGTATGCATTTCAGGACTTTTGGTAGACTCTCTTGCAAATGCGGAGGCTGTGAGATACTTCACGGCGGAGGCATACGAGGCGCAGCGCTTCGGGTCAGTCCAGCGACAGCTAGAGGACCAAATGACGAAGGTGAACGAGTCTCTTGCCTTTTTAAACTTTGGGCAGCAACTTATCTTCACCACTGGCCTCTCCCTGGCACTGCTTCACACGGCTAGCCTAGTTGCCTCAGGCGCTGCCCCAGTGGGACAGATCATTCTTGTCAGCACTCTGCTCTTGCAGGTGAGACGCAAACTATCTAAGCAACCCAAGCAACACTGTGGCGCCCCATTACAAGTGCTTCGGCACAAGTTTTGGGCCGCCCAATTCAGCCACAGCATACAGCAGCTCGAACAACACTAAGATGGCCCAAAGTACATGCTGCAGCACAACGTTCGGCACAAGTTTGCCCCACACGAGATTTCTATACCGACAGAAGTCTTTCCTAAGCGTGTAGCCGAGATGCGGGCCGCTGTTGGCTGTGCATGTGACAAAATTCTGTTGCCAAAATCTTTTTCTGAAACTGTGCGTGTCTTGTGGCTGCAGCTAGCGATTCCCTTAAATTTCATTGGTACGGCGTATAGAGAGTTGACGCTGAACACGATTGACCTGGAGAAGTTGCAACAGCTGCTGAAAATGCGGCCGCTGGTCCGCGATCCTCACAACCCTGTGGTGTTTCAGCTACACGGTGGAGCTATCGAATTCAAGGACGTGAAGTTCGCCTATCCTCCTTCTCACTCCCTGGACCAGCTGTCCGGCCAACAAAGGCCTTATAAAAAGCATATGGGGGAAGATAGCCAAGACTCCAGCGCTTCGCGAGGCGTAGGCAAGCTAGTTTTAGATGGCTTTTCCCTGGAAGTTCCGGCTGGCCGCAGGGTCGCCCTCGTGGGAGAGTCAGGTTCGGGCAAGACGACCCTCATTCGCCTTTTATATCGTTTGGCAGACCCCTTGAGCGGTGTAGTCTCTATAGATGGCCAGGACCTGAAAACGCTCCCCGCCATGTCCTTCAGGTATTTATTTGAAGTTCACTGCACAGAAGCTCCAACAGCTCCATATTTACTTCTTGTCTCGAGCTTTCAATATTAGCGGGAGAACCAGCTCTTTTTGTACATTTGGCATGGACAGAAAAAGGTCCTGTCCTGTTTCGTGTGTTTCGTCAGTTTTTTGCTTTCATCCTTCCACAGCACGGATGCACCACTTTGTGATGCGATGCCCCCACTAACTTCTTTGTCCGTCCTTGCGTTTGTAAACTCAGCAGCAGCTTGTGAATATTTCAGGTTTCAGTCTCTGGCTTAGGAGGGGAAAATCTGCGTGGACTTTGGATCCATTGTTACCTGCCCTTCCCTGCAGGCGACATATTGGTGTTGTCCCACAAGACGTGTTACTCTTCAACGAATCCCTTGGGTTCAATCTTCGCTATGGAAGTCCAAATGCAACAGATGAACAAGTGAAGGTATCTTGCACTGAAGGCAGTGCACCACACGTCTTCTGTCCGCTTTCGCTAGTGACTAACAGTCTAACAGACAGCTCAGCAACTCAGCTAAGCTTAAACCACTTTGTCTATGGTCGTCGTTCCGTGTGGTAGGCTTGGGCATTCGGTTCCTCCTTCATGCAAGCAACGCGTGCATCTTTAATGATACATTTTATGAATTATAGTACAAATATTGTTTCGTTGCATACTTTTACAGGAGGCAATCCGGCTCGCTGAGCTAACAGAACTAGTGGAGTCGCTTCCATCTGGCTTGGACACGCCAGTCGGCGACCGTGGGGTGCGCCTCAGCGGCGGGGAGAAGCAACGCGTCGGGATTGCGCGTTGCCTTCTGCGCAACCCAGAGATTGTCGTATTTGACGAAGCAACCAGTGCACTGGATATGCATACGGAACACAAGATTCTGAAGGTGTGGTGCCACATATATTCCCGAGTTATCTGTTACCCCGGCTGATTTTGACAACTGCATGGAAGCTCCTTACACTTCAAAAGATATAGAGTCTAAAGAGGATGCTGGGTAAAAGCTCATGAGGAGAAGCCAAATGCGTTTTTTTTACACGAGAAACTTGCTCATTGTTATATGCAGGCAATGCGTGCAATATCTCATGGACGCACCACGCTTGTCATCGCACACCGCCTCTCTACTGTCGCAGGGGCAGATACAATTGCTGTACTTGACCAAGGCCGTGTCGCGGAAATAGGAACCCACGCTGAACTGTTGCAAAAGAAAGATGGGCTATATGCTTCCATGTGGGATAGACAAGTAGGCACAAGCTTAGTGAGGCATGACGCGCCAAGGACAGAGGGGCTTTGGACGACGGTGTAGTAGACGATGACCCTGTTGCTGCTGGTAATTTTACCGCCTAAAGCTCAAGGCAGGGGTTGTCTTGGAGGCAGGGGCTGTCTTGTTGTGCAGCGATGCACGCTATTTTTCTGTCCGTGGATTGCGTTTTGTGTGGGTCCTGTTATGCCAGCGAGAAGGCCAATTGGGGAGGGTCCTGAGCCGCGACTAGCCGAGCATTCATTTTTAGAGTGTAATCTGCGTAAGGTTTTTAGGCGGAACGTCATTGGAACGGTTTCCTTAGCACATTGTGCGGCAGGCTTTGCCGGAATTTATGAAAGTCTTTGCCCTGCATGCAGCAAAACAGATGCAGCATGAATGGGCAACGAAGGCAGGCAACTTGACCTGAAAATTCATACCGGAGAATTTTAAATATCACCATTCCACGCGTTCGGCCAATATACATGCATTCACCTGCTGCGAAGCCCAGTTGTCTTCAAGGCCAACAACAACTCACAGCAATCGCCTAGGAAAATGACTAATACTTGATTTTGCCTCTTGCCTTTTCATTGTGATATATGAACCGGGCGCAGATTTTACAAAGACTTTGATAAGGGAAATCTCTTTGAACAGACGTGCATCTAAGCATGCAACGGTTCAGGGGAATCACGACTATCGGAGGGCACCGAGATGATCTGGAGGTTGTAACCAAATTCACTTGTCGTCCCAGTGACCCCAGACACTGTGAATTTTTACACAGATACCAGAGTCAGATAACTGTCTTGGCCCTTCTGAGGTTCGCTAAGGATGACTTGTTAATTTGCCTAGCCCATACCAAAATCGCCAGGAATGCTCAGTCGTAGGGTTCATTGCGTGAATCCAAATCTTATGTTCTCTATACAATATTTTTCTGCTTTTGGATAAACGGGGCAGCCGTGACGAAGTGAGCCCGAGTTTTCCGTGCAGGAATTCAATATGAAAGTACATTGACGGCCGCATTGAGCTTTGTTCAAGAGCAGAGCTTGTTGCGTTGATATAAATAAAGAGGCATGCAGACTCAACAATAGTGGCCCACTCTCTCAATTTGTTGCCCACTGGTGGCAGGACCTCACTGTGAACATGAGCACAGGTGGTCAGTTTAGCAACCTGGCACTTACCATTTTGGGATAGTGAACACACCAGAGTATGTGAAATTAACGCGGCGAAGTGAGTGCTACAAATGGATAGACTTGGCTGGAAGCTTCCGTGGCTCATGAGACAAAGTGTACTGCAGCACACTCTCACAGCTGTACTATGCTGTGGGATCTTCGATCACGGCCTTCACCAGTGGGTGCATGCAAATTGTCATACCTTGAAACCCGTTACCTTAAAAGCCCAAATTACCCCTGAGTGTGCAGGTCTGAGCGAGGAGATCCCATCTAAAAGGTCCTTGACCTGAGCCCCATTTTGGTGGGTCGGTGCTCCGGCCGCGTGGTTGCCCCCTGAGTCAGCCCTAAGCTTGCGCATCCTAGCAGCAGGTCGCGTCCCCAAAGGCTTAATTCCAGTGCAGACTAGGCCAACTTTAGCAAGTCACCTGCTGTTTCGTATTGCCGGCCTCTAGAGGCCTCATGAGGACTTACTGTAGTTCCCGTGTACAACATCCCAGCTTCCCGGCTTGTACTCGCCGCTCTACGCTGAGCTCTACGCCTTAAGCTTCCACTGCGCCCATTTGCATTTGCCCTCCTCAGTAGTGTATGTTATTTTCACGTGTATGCCATTGGTGACAGGCCCAACAGATCCCCCTATTCTATCGCTTCTTTCGAACAAGATTTTCTTGTAGCGTCAAGTGTTGTGATGCGAGTGACCCCGTGCAGTTGGCCCTACGCTCTCTTACACGATTGCTTAGTGCACGTTGTGCACTGTGCTCGTGCTGCTAAAATTTGCCATGACAGTAACATTGCCATTGCTATTATTGATACTTTATCATTACTAGTCCTGCCTTGTATTTATCATTGAGTTAAGTTTACATTATATATAATATATATTATGCATGTACATCACTTGTATGCAACCTATAAGGTCACTTCAGCAGGTCAGCGACATATTCATCTCACATATACCATGTTAGTTCACTTTAGTCTTTATGCTGTGGGTGCCTCACTCTAGCCACTTGCTATCGTAATCCTAACCCTAGTGCGATGCTATTATGTATTTAGTGAACATGCACGTGCACATGTCGCCGCATGAGTGCTTCCTCCTCCGCATGCACAACTCGAAGATTGCTGGCGAGGCAGTCTAAAGTGAGAAACGGACTCGAACTGCCGCGTACACAGAGCGACACAGAATGGAACGGAATAGGGAATGAGGAAAGGGATGAGCGCTCTGTAAGCAACGCAAGAGGCTGTTAGGGGGTCATCGGGATGCCGGAAGGGGAAGAGCAAGTCTGGGTCCGTTGGTGTCCGCGCTGGCGGCGCCTCCAGGCATGCGTCAAGGCCGAGCATTCAGCAAGATGGTTAGCACGCTCCCATGTGGCGCAGTCCTCAGCTAGGCCACGACACTTGAAGAGGTACTACTCGTCATCTCCAGAGCCTCGCTGATCAAGTATATAATCCACAGCGTACTGGTCCGTTGGCTTGCCTGCCGCGTCACGGGTAGGAGGGCAGCCTAACACCGCTCCCTGGGGAATCAAGTCCGGAACGCGGGGGCGGTGAGGGGTGACACTCGTAGGTAGGCCGCAAAGCAAGGCGTTGTGCCGCGGCCCCGGCACGTTCGGTCTTCCCAAAGTGGCCCCGCTAACGGGGTTCAAACTTTGGAGAGCTCTTCAGGGCGGGTGGGCTCTTGCTGCTGAGCCATACCTTGTCTCCCACTGGATTCTTCTGCTTAGCATCCGCATAGGACTTCTGTTGCCGGCTGTGAGACAGAATACAGCGCCACATCATGAGAGCAAAGCTTTGTCATGGGGGAAGTGAGTGTAGGAGATAGAGCGCCAACAGTGTGAAAGTCCGTGGCTGTAAGGGGGTTCTCACCAATTATTACCTCAAAGGGTGAGAGCTCCGTTGAGGAGTGATTTGCATTGTGGGCAAGCTCTAACGCAAGCAGTATGCACGCATGCCTGGCCAATAGCAGTATTTCCTCAGAGCTAGGAAGGCCTTCTTCTGGCCTCAATACCCGGTGGCCACATGATCATGATGAGTATAAAGTACACGCGTGAGGAACCCAAAAAACTGAGGAAGGCAAATGTTGCAGAGGCCGTAGATGCAAACGCTCAAGCAGGGGGTTTCATAACGAAAGGTACGTTGGCGGTTGCGGAACTCGAATCGGGTAGCTTCACCGGTTTGCTCCACCGTGGTACTGCAAGAAGCTGGCCAATTCCCGATAGCTGGCCAGCTTCCTTCGGGTGTTGTGGGCCTTGCCGCCTGGCCTGCAGGTTCGGCAGCTGACAGAACTGGTACCAGAGAATCCTGTTAGGGGAGCTGGGTGGCTTGGACGTACTGAAGTGGCGTGTGATGGGCTAATGAGGGAGGCGAGGCAATGCGTCTGCCACCTGGTTTCGTGGTGCTTGTAAGCAGATGATTGTGATGCCTGAGAACTCTGCAAGGAAGTCGAGCCATTGACCACCCGTGCGTCCACGAAGGGGCTTCGACACTTTTAGCTGCTGTAAGTGGGTAAGGGTCTGATGGTCAGTATATGCGGTGACCATGGTAACTCGAAGTAGGTGGGACCACTGGTGGAGAGCGGCCACTAAGGCCAAACCGACGAGTGGCATGTTTAGCACGTTTGTCTCCAACAAGGCCTGGGTTCTCTCGTCTTTCAGTCCTTTTGCCTCTGCGCAGTTGCAGGCCTGCCCTCGGTGCCATTCTTCGAGCGAACTGGTGTGGGGCACTCCCTTGTATAGTGTCCCAGTCCGCCACACATCATACACGTTTCTCCAAAACGGCGTGCCCGGACGGCGCTGGAAGGACAGTCTCTTGCCATATGCCCCTTTCCTTTGCAATCGCAACACTCTGCTCCAGCTCCACAATTCGGGCTGGGGTGGTTCACCTTTGTGCCTGCAGGTGCAGGCTGATTAGCTACAACCAACCTTTTGGGGCACCTTGAGTTCAACTGGAGCTGCCATCTGCGTTGCTCCTCGTATGTTTTTACCCAAGGGGTTTCAAGCTCCGCTGAAGCTGCTGCTGCTGTACTCCAATGTGGAAATTTGACCGTTTCCCAATGAGTTACTGCCCTGAGCCAATGAGTTACTGCCCTGAGCTACTTGACGGGTAAGTTGGCTAGAAAACAGCCGAGGGTGTCAGCGGCTGGCATCGATGTATCCCGTGCTACTCTCTTCGCAAAGTTGACAGAATATTTCTCCTGGTTCCAAGTCCACCAGTTCCCTGCTATCTGACGTAGGACTTTATCACGATTGAAAACATTGTAGCATGTCACGTTGTAACTGCGTATCACGCTGTAATTGTGTCCAGTTTGTCATCCCTGCACCGGTGTCCCTTCAGTGTAGCCATTACCCCAGGGCCTCCCCTTCCAGGTATTCCTCGACCTGTAATCCCCATTGCGGTCTTCCCAGACACATCTTCGTAAGCTGTGGCTCCACCACTTCCAGGAAGCTCTCTGTGTTTTGACCTCATTCACGTGGCAGCTGCGGACAGACGGTTGGGGGGTCTCCTGCGCCTTTTTGCGTAGTATAAGGGATTTTAGCTGTGTTATCTGCCTCTCCAACCGTGAAACTCCCTGGGCACGATCCACCTTGGGCGCCTCCGGTACAAAGTCGTCAGAGGCAGCTCTCAGTGCCGATTCAAGTGGCACCTTTGGTCCCTTAGACGGCAGTAGCGGAATATTTGAACGCCCGTCCCAGCCAAGGAGAAGTCTAGTCCCGCATCTTGAGGGGACGGCCTGGCAAGGGGAGATCTATGTGACTTGAGTTTGCCCTAATGGAATTCCCTAGCGTAGATGACATGTTTCGATCCAGGAATTCTAATTTACCCGCTGGTGAAGGTTTGGGCCACACGCAGGATGGCAGCTGGTTCCCGCGTACTACATTTCGGAGCTGCTCCGGGATTCAAACCCGGGACCTCTCGTTTGTGAATACCTGATACACGTAAGTCGTTTCAGTGCCTCAACGTCATTACTATAGATGTGAATATGTAAGATTGCTAGCATACTTTGTTTCCTGTCGCACTCAGGAACTCAGGAAACAGCAAAAGCAACATCAGAAAAACAGTTTAATAGTGGAACATATGCTTTTGTGGCCTAAACTTCCTTAAAAATAGGGCTGTAACGACACGAAAGCAAGTGGAAGCAGCCTTTCACTGGCACAGACCAACTCCAAGGCGCTTCCCCCCTTCAAAGAACTAAGATGAACAGATGTACAAAAAGCAAGCCAATGTTTCATTCGCAGCGTTGTATAACCCCAAACCAAAATGTATTGCAGATTGTCCAGTCGTCACCTGCACAGCAAAAGCAAGTCCAAAAGCAAGCCTGTCATAAGAAAATGAGGCAAAGGATGTTCAAAGCATTGCTACGTGCTGATTTGCGTGACAAGTCCCGACGCCTTTCAAGACGATGCATCCCCTCTATTCATATGAGCAGCATGTTGACGTCTGCGTTTTATTGCTGATTACGCTTCGGGGGTAGCTGTGAACTGAGCTAATCATTGCGCATGCGTTTGTGGATGTTGCGCAGAGAAGAGTAGTGCAACAAGGTCATAGCATGCATCACAGGTTCTGCGTCTGCCAAATTCCCCAGTGTTGCTACTCCTCTTATCTTAGCTCTTGGTATTCATGCGCTGTGACGCATCCACCTAGTGATGTGCTATCAAGCACGCCGGTGTTTTAGCACACCCGAGCAAAGTTAGTCTACTCACTAGCCTACCAGGCGTCGTTATGCTTCGTTTTTTGAAGACGTTGCTGTGTGATCGATCTCTGGAGCATCATTATGGCTGGTTCGCAGTTGGCGACCTCACCAGCAACCAGGCATTGCGAACCTGCAGTGTTGCGCATCTCAGGTAACAGTCTGTGGCTGTCGGTTAGTCCTCAGTCACCGACCAGGTTTGTCCCACTAGCAATTATCTTCGAGTTAATGGCTGCCACTTAAGGATTAAAGGGAACTGAAGGGGCCGATTAAGTTATCGGAACGCTTGAGAGAATGCTCGCAACGTGCAGTTGTGTAGGGACGTGTCAATGAATTATTTGTTCGTCTAAAAAAACGTGGTATGCGTTGGGAGCTTGTGGACTGTCGGTGGTGCAAGCTGGCAGGGTTGATTGACACTCCGCTGGTTCCCGTTGAGCACGTTTTTTTCGCAACAAATTCCCCTCTGCTACCTTGCAGAGTATATATTTCTTCAACTGTCTTGTTCACCCAGGCACAAAATGCTCTGCACACCAGCAAAAACCGGCGTATGCCTTTCTTCTAGTGAGACACCACGCCGCAAGGTTTGTACAGAGGGGGCGCTTGTTTGTAGTATTCATTTGCTGAAGAGCTGCATGTGTGCCAAAAGTAAATGCACAGATGGGAAGAAATGTTAGAGTTCGATTACGAATGCTTGACTCTTCCGAGGATTTCTCGGCGCGGCACCTGTTTTCCTGACGCAGCGCCGGCGCGCTCCTGCTGAGCTACGGCTCATCTAGAGAAAAAGTGTTGAACGTCCGTTCGTTGGCACGCTCCGGGATATGAAACTCTCCAACTACATCGACGACTACACGGATAATTAATTTCAGCTTGAATGGTGGGAAAAGTTGGCATCATTTATCAGGATGCAGGGACGCAAGATCCACTGCTCTACTGCCTGAGCGGATCTAGAGCACGGATTCGTTTCAACGTTTCACCAGTTGAACTGTTTTAAGGAGCCTGGCCGTTACTTTTGAACCCTTTATTGTTTAACCCCACAAATAAGGTTTACTGGCTACACAAGGACCCCGTGGGACGGATGGAAACTCGCACGCTCAGACCCTTTAAGATAAAAACTTTCGCCAGGTTTGCCAGTGCCTGCTCACCAACCCTCTTCAACGCCGCATTGACGCGGGTGCGAACGAACACGATATTTCCTTAGTGTTCCGATTTGATCATATTCACCTTCAGTTTGTCGCTATTTCGTTTCTGCGGATAGATATTTCTCCATTTGAGATATTTCAAACTCCAGTCGGCAGAAATGCTGTCTGTAGCGTTCGCCTCCTTCCTCAGCGCCTCGCTGCTATTGTTGAGCGAAAACAGCTCACAGGCTATTGCGTCAGCAACCGTAAAATATACTGCAAAACTTGGTAGGCGATAAACCCCTGCTCTTTCGCCCACTTTCTGCCTTTATTTGCGCCTGCGTGCGGCCCATGGCTGCGCGTGGGAGTTCGACCAAAAAATTGCGTTTAAGTAGTTCATACTACGTTTATTCTCTCAATTTAAAATATAGTAAGGGATTTGCAAGAAAGAACCCGCGTGTTTGAACACAATGGCTGCAGGCACCACTGTCCAATGTCTCAGCGAAATAAACGGTGCCCGTGAAGCAGCTGGATTGGCTAACTTCGCCGACGCAGCGACCAAAGAAGAGAAAATATCTGAACCTAGCTCCTCAGAACTTGAAAGCGAATGGAAAAAGCTTTGCGAATATTTGATACCAGTAAGTTACTGAACACGATCCTGATTTATCTCCATTAGCCTCAACGCGCGCTAGTACTGTAATTCTCTCGCTTATTTCTCTCAGCCACCATCTCAAGAAGAAAGCGTCCAAGCAACTGCAGAGCCCTTCAAGGATGGAACCTATGCTTTCAAATCGTTGACCGCCGAGCAACCCGACTGCGAAAAAACTGTTGATTACTGGAAGGCAGCCTACAAAAACTTCACTGGAATGCCTCCACCAAAAAGTGAAGACACAAGCATATACAGCAAACAAGATAACGTCTCTTTTGTAGCTCTGTACAACCCCATACCCAAAGCCACAGCAGACTGCCGAGTCGTCACTTGCACTCAAACAATTACCGCTGCTTCAGTTCCTGCAGCTGCAGCTGCGCAAGGTGATGGCGACAGCGAAGCCGACACCAGAACCAAAACAAATGGCTATGCGTTGATTTGCAAGACGATGCCTGCTGCTTTTGAAAGTGACAACACTCCTCCATTCACGTAAGCAACATTTTAGTCCTTAAGTCGCAGTGCTACACACATCGCCTCTATTGCTGTTGTTGGACTGACTCGCGTCCGCATGCGTTTCGCAGGGAAGAGCAATGGGACAAGATCAAATATTCCCTCACAGGTTCCGCGTCAATAGCAGCCCCAAGCCTGGTTGCTCTTGCCATTCTGGCGCTCGGCATTACGACTGTATGAAGTTTCGAGCTGTCAGCTGTAAAATACTGCCTGCATCGTTTTTTGCCGAAAACCCGATGCAAAGATGAAACGCTGCGCACTTGCCTACCGAAAAAGCCCTTAAATTTTAAAAAAACGATTCCTTTATAACCTACTCCTATTTCTGCCGCACGCTTGTAGGGCACCTTCGCGGAAGGAAAAATGTACATGCTTACGGCATTTCCCAGAATCGTGTAAAACCAAATTCAGCTCCTTTTAGCGACAAACTATGCATGCTATTTTAGCATATGCAGGTTACTCGTTGCTTTTCACCAGGCACAATTCTCCGCTCCCTGATCAAATAACATGCTCACCAAATGGAAAAGCCTGCTTGGAGAGACTTTGAATGATACTTCTAGGGCTGGCACAAAGGAATGAACATGGACTGGGTAAGCCAGCGGTGACATTGAGCTGCAACGCACGCCTTGTCGCTGGAATTTCGAAGCATTCCCAGCACCCCATTGGTTGCTCCGCGCACGTTGGAGCTTTCACGCCGCCTTGCGGCGTTTGGCGAAACGATTTTGGTTTATTTTCAAAAACCATTCTCTCTCTTATTGGAAAAATGTGGAGCCACGTAGAAAGCTACACTTTTCAGCTCCTGCGCACATTCGGCGAGTTATTCCAGGGTTGCACGAGGTGAAATCGTCTTTATGCTTGAGGGAACATCCACAGTATGCAGCTATGTAGAATAAAATGCAATCATTTTTGAGCTGGTGCTGTAGGCTTCTGTGGAGTTTTCGTGTTGGTGGTGGACTGGGTCAGCATTGCACTGCCTCTGGGATTTGCGTCGAGGGAGTGTCTTTCCATGGGGATACTTGCTCGCAGCCACTTTAAACAGCATATTTTTTTTCTCGCTCGCCCCATGCAATTTGGGACGCAACGTCGTGGGCACTGTTGCCAGCTTATTAAAATTGTGGGTGCAACGTCCTGCGCACTCATGAAAGCCAGTGCATTTGAAATTGCCTGGCAGCGGAAGTCACATGCCTAGCAAAGTTTGTGCAGCCTGAGGCAAAGCGATTATTTAGTTCCTATTTACTCGGTGTGCGTTGGAAAGCAATACTAGGAGAGAAATAAGTTGTGGAACTATTTGGTTAGTGACTGGCTGGTACAAGGTCCTGTTTCTGCTGAAGTGCAGGGCTCTGCGAGCAAAACTGCTGGAAGCCCTCTCGTTGAGAACATTTTGCGGATTGTAAAACCTGCAAATTAAATCAAGTTGCAATACTCCATGAATTGATTGGTGACAGAGCAACTGATAGATGGGTTCGGTTTCAGGCTGTCAGCTGCAGCAGGCAGGATACCCCTTGGCGTGGGAGACCGCTTGGATCTTGAGGGCGAAATTTTCCAGGCGTTCTATTGCTCGAGTCATGTTAAGAAGCGTGGCCTTTTTACTCACACGTCAGTAGGTTCGTTGAGACATAAGCATTATCGGGTGCAGCCACGTTCATTTTCAACGTTTGCGGCCCGCAAACTCCGATCCTGTTCACAGTTTGTGTGACCTCCAGCGGCACTAGAACCCTCTTCAACCCCACACTGAGGTGCGCACGAATCGCCGCAGCTTCTCCCTCATCTGCCGGCTGTAGTACTATTTATTGACTGTTCAGATATTGTGCTCCTTCATGTAACACTTTCTTCATCTGGGATATTTAAAGGACCAGTCAGCGTAAATGTTTCTTGTCAAGTTGGCGTCTTGCCTCACAGCCTGGCTGCTGTCGTTGGGCAAGAAAGTTCAGAAACCACCTCACAGTGTGCACTAGTGCCGCCTTCCTTTCATGCTCCCCTTTATCAAGTGCCTTCTCAGGCATATAATTCCCAAACATCGGCAAAGATGTTGAAAGATGGAACGTATGCTTCCACGTCCCTTACTGCCGAGTAGCCGAACTAAGGGGGAAAATGTCAGTACTTGAATGCAGCGATAAAAGACTTCACTAGACTGGCGCTATCAAAGAATGAATCTGGAAAACTGTTTAGCAATTGATACACTGTTTTTTTTGCAGCCCTGCACAACCCTTGATCTAAAGCCACTGCGGATTACCGAGTCGTCACTTGCCCTCAAACGACACTTTCGGCTTCACGTTTGGGTTGCATGCCAACATCTGGCGAAGCTACAAGAGCTGTCTATGTGTTGATTTGCAAGGCGAAGCCTACTGACGCCTACTGCTTTTTGAAGTGGCAGCGCTGCTCCATACATGTAGGCAACAATTTGTTTCGCGCGTCACAGTGCTGCTCACGGTGTCACGATTGCTCTGAAATCGGTTGCACACTGCCTATGCGGTTGCGTGTTCTTCACTGGCCCGAACAGTGGGACGTTGTCATATCTTCTCTCAAAGATTCCGGGTCAGTAGCAACTCCAAGCTTGGTTGCTTTTGCCATCGTGACATTCGGCATTACGATTTTGCACCCCTCGTCCTATTCGATGAAAAGTACCACATGCATTGTGTTCTGCCCTAATTTCGGTGCTGCTTTGAGGGACAGCGCACGTGCTGACCAGAGGGACTTTTCTCACTTTTTCAAATCATCACTTCGCAAGCTTCTCCCAATTTTGCCGCATAATTTAATCGCAACTCCACGAGATGCAAGCCGTATATGCTTACAACATTTTCTGGGATGATCAGAGGCCGATATTTCAAGCTTCAGCTGTCTTCAGTGACAGATTATGCTAATGCCTGGCAATCCATTCGCTAAGTCTGGCACAGAGAAAAGGGAAGTAGATGATACCGGGTTGTTCGATGGCAAGATCGTATGTTTCCTTGGCCAAATAGTTTACTTTTCAGTCAAAATAAGTAAAACTCTCTGTGTTGTCTGATGTTTTTCGAGGTGATACAACGAGTTTGGGGGCAATATGGACTGTCGATACTGGCGGCGGCATTTACGCGCGACACACACTTTGTCGTTGAGCATTTGGAGCACACCATTGACTACCAGTCATTCGTCGCAGCTTTTACGCTGGCGGAAGGCACTCTGGGCAACTCCAGTGGACCCCAGCTCCCTGCTATTGGGAAGAAACAAAATAAACTGGGGTAACACGGGAACCGGCAGCTTGCCGAATCTACTCTTTCAGTTTCCCCCTGTACTCGGAAGTTCATATCGGGAGACTACTTATTTGAGGCTCATACGGATGAGGCGCTCGCGTTCTGCTTAACCACAGATCAAACACCAATGCTGAACAATCTGCCTTCGAGGCCAACAATCAACTTGAAATCTGTCACTCATTTATCGATTTATGCTCAAAAACTCAGAAGTTCTTGGACGAAGCTATAGAAAGATTGGACTTTGCGTGCACAGGTACAGAGGTGCACTGATGACTTTTTGATGTGGATCTAGTGCTCTGCGTACTACCACTCACAAGGTGTTGTTCGGAGGCGTCTTCGTTTTGGTCTTTCCATTCACATTCAATTCACCCAACAGTTCTTAAAGGGCACGATTTTAAATTAATAGTTTGATTGAATTTCAAGTGGTGCAGTTCTGCAAGCGCTGATCTACAGTTCAGTGCTCGACCCTAACAAGCGGGCACTGCTCACCACAGATCCCCGGATGCATTGACGACAGCAGCAACCACACCGTCGGCTTCCAATGTAACTTCCTTCTGCAGTACCTTGGTTGATACCCCTGCTTTTTCAAGGCGATTCTTTAATTTTTCCCACGGAAGCGTTTTTTCTGTGTCAATTTCTCAAAGATGCTCCACTGGAACTTACCACCACTTCTTAGCAGTTTGTTACTGGTGCTGACCGCCTCAAAACTGGGCAGCTCACAAACAAGTGCGCCAACAGTCAAGTACACTGCAACTCTTGGTAAGCAGTTAGCATTTACCCGCCTGTTTCCTTCGTACTGAAGCCCAGGTTGGCTTGCGTTCGTTACTATAGGGACAGGGTTCAAGTCAACTTCTGAAAAGTGACATTATGCGACATGGCTCTGAGTCCATTCTATTCTTCAAGAGGTGGGCTTAGCTAATCGGGCAAAATATAGGTATGTGTGGATGCAATTACTGCAGGGGAGAACGTTGTGTGCCTTAGCGAGTTCAACGCTGCACGTGAGGCGGCTGGGTTGGCCAACTTCATAAAAGCACCAAAGGAAAACGAACTAACCGATCCACAAACAGAACTAGAAGAAGAGTGGAAAAAAGTTTGCACGCATTTGATCCCAGTAAGTGACACAAAATATTACCAGAGTCAGGATCACCAAGGATGTCGTGTAGTGCAGCATTATCTTCTTCCTTTACTCAGAGCGAAGAAACGGAAGGAGCGGCTAAGTCAAGCTCAGCGAATCCCTTTGAAGATGGAACATATGGTTTCAAGCGCTTAGCTGACGCAGAGCCCAATTGTAAGGAGGCAGTTGATTACTGGAACGCAGCCTTCAAAAACTTCACTGGACTGCCGCCATCAAAGACTGAAGGCACAGACCTGTACAAGAAGCAAGACAATGTTTCTTTCGTGGCCTTATACAATCCTTCCTCTAACGCCACAGCCGACTGCCGAGTCGTTACTTGCACTCAAACGACTACCTCCGGTTCACTTCCTGCAACCGCGACAAGTGGTGGGGAGAGCGGAACAACGAAAAATGGCTATGCACTGATTTGCAAGACGATGCCTACTGCTTTTGCAAATGACACCTCTGCTCCGTTCACGTAAGTGACATTTTGATCTTTCTGTCGCAATGCTACCCAGATCGCCTTAATTGCTGTGAGTTGCACTGAATCGCGCCTATGTGATTGCGAGTGGTTCACAGGCAAGAGCAGTGGGACAGAATCAAATCTTCTCTTACAGGATCCGCGTCAATAGCAGCTCCATGCCTGGCTGCTTTTTTGATTGTGGCGTTAGGCATTACTTCTTTGTGATGTTTTCGTGCTATCAGCTGTAAACTAGCGCCTGCATGGTTGCTTGTTGGAAGTCGGATGCAGGCGATGAAACCCCGCACACTTGCCTACCAAAAAGACTCTTACCGTTTTTTGAAGCCATTACTTAGTAACTTCCTGCCATTTCTGCCACACGCTCAAAGCGCATTTTTGCGGGAGGGAGACTGCGCGTACAACAGCTTCCCGAATTGTGGAAATCTTAATTTAGAGATTCAGCTCCTTTTAGTGGCAGATTGTGCATGCAGCTGTGGCATAACTTATATGTCGATCTTTGCTGACTCTGGGATTAAGAAAGAGAAGGAAGATGATGCCGGTTATCACCTGGCACATTTGCACGGCACCTTCGTCAAACAATGTGCTAGCCAAATGGGAAAACTCGCCTTTGACACCTTCGATATTTCTGGAGCTAGTAAAGTGGACTAAGATATGGACTACCTAACCTAGCAATGATATCCACCTTCAACAGACATCTTGGAATTTCGAAGCTGTCCAAGCAATCCATTGACTGAGTGACTTATGTAGGAGACACTACGCTGCCTTTTATTGTTGGGCCGAAGCCATTCTGGGTAGCTCCATATAAGCGTCGCCGTCTCGCACCAGAACTACCTGGAACCGAGGGCAAAACTTCTTCTTTCTCCATTTATTTGTCCAGCTCCTCCGCAGATAGAGAACATTCTATTGAGGGAAGGTTCTCTATCTGCCAGGCTTGCACGCGGTGAAGTCGTCTTCATGCTTGTGATAATACTCGGAAAATGCAACTATATAGGGAGGATAAAAAACTTTTTTTGAGCTAGTGCTGTTAGCATTTCATAAAACTGCAGGCTTGCGTGGTAGAGGCTCTCCGGTCGGTCACCGCTGCACTCTCCACATGATTTGTGCCGAAGAAGGTTCCTTTCACGAGAATAGTCGCCCGGACCTACCTTTCTTTGCATGAGTTTCTCCCCAAAACGCTCATTCAATCGGGTGCGACGGCATGCGCAGCTTATTTCTTGCTAGTACACGTAAGATGCCTAGGAGAAGTTTCCAAAGCCTGCAGAAAAGCGGCTGTTTCCCCCCAATTTTTTGTGTGTGGGCCTAGGCTAAATGTTTAGAGTAAAGGAATTCTGGAAGTATTTTGCCAACGATGCGCTACTATGAGCCCTTCCTAAGGCGGCGCCGGCCTGTTCTAGTGCGGCGCGGTGGGAGCAAAAGTACTGAGCAGCCTCCCCTTAAAGCATTCCACGGGCGATGAAGCCTGCCTGCTGAACTGAGCTGAAATATTCCATGAATTCAACTGGTAGAAATCGCATGTTTTGTTTTGTGGGGGAGAGCGATTGGAGAACACCTTAGCGTGAGGGAAAGCGTGGATCTAGAGCACGAACTCTTTTCGTCGTTCCCCTGCCTGAGTTACGTAGTAAAACATGACCAATGCTTATAAGTTTCAATTTGCTTTCTGATAGATTGGCTTTTTCTGCTACGGAAAACTCACTTTTAACAGTTGCGGGCTTGCTGCCTCAGATCCTACCTAGAGTCTTGTGCGAGCATCGTCAGAACGAGCTCACTACGCATTTTCAGTGCCGTATTGACGTGGGCATAAAATACAGCAACTTCTATTCAATCTGCCCTCTCGAATATTATTTTATTAAATTTGCAGACATTTTTGCCCTCACACAGACATTTCTTCTCCCGGGGGATTTCAACGCCCAGTCAATGGATATGGTACGCTTGAGCTTCGTCTTCCTGAGCGCCTCGCTGTTATTATTGTGCGATAACAACTCAGCTGTAGCTGGACAAAATACTGTAACGTACACTGCAAAGCTTGGTAAGCAATTCACCTTGGCTCTCACGTGCACTTTCTTTTGAGTTTGCTGACTCTGCTTTGGAGCGATTCCAACAATTTTGGGCAACACCGCATTTACTCTCCTGTTCAAATGTGTAATTAAAATCATATGCAAATAATTGAGATTGCTTGGACTCAATGGTTGCAGGTGGCACTGTCCAATGTCTCAGAGAAGTAAACGCTGCCCGTGAGGATTGGGCCACTTTACTGAGGCAACAACCGACGAAAAAAAAATATCTGACCCTGGAGAAGGGGAGCTTGCTGAAAGCAAATGGAAAGACCTTTGTGAATATTTGATACCCGTAAGGCGCTGAGCATTATGTAGACTTCGTTCCATTAGCCTCATCGTGTGCACTGGAGCTGTCTTCATTTCTTGCTTCCTTCTCTCAGACGCCATCCGAAACATATGGCGCCCAAAAGGCTGTAGATCCCTTCAAAGATGGAACGTATGCTTTCAAGTCCCTCACTGCCGAGCAACCAAACTGCACTGAAACTATCGATTACTGGAAGGCAGCCTACAAAAGCTTCACTGGTCTGCCGCCTGCAAAGGGTGAAGCGGGAACACTATACGACAATCAGGACAATATTTCCTTTGTAGCCCTATACAACCCTTCATCTAGTGCCACTGCAGACTGTCGAGTCGTTACTTGCACTCAAAAGGCGTCTCCTGCCGCCCTTTCGGCTGGTGTGTCAAGCGGCGGCAACGATGCGAACACGAAATTGGGCCACGCTATGCTTTGCAAGACGACGCCTACTGCTTTTGAAAATGATAGCACTGCTCCATTTACGTAAGTAACACTCTGGTCCTTGTGTCACACTAGTACCCAGATCTACCTGATAATTTTAGGCTGGACTGAATCTTGTCTACTTGACTGCGGGGCTTTCGCAGGCAAGAGCAATGGGACAAGATCAAATATTCTCTCACAGGATCCGCGTCGATAGCAGCTCCAAGCCTGGTTGCACTTGCCATTGTGGCATTCGGCATTACGGCTGTATGATGTTTCGAGCTGTCAGCTGTGAAATACTGCTTGCTTCGTTGTTTGCCAAAAGCCCGATGCAAAGGTGAAACGTTACGCCTTTGCCTACCAAAAGGGCTTTTCACATTTTCTTAACGACTTCATCATAACCTGCTGTCATTTCTGGCTCATGCTTGTAGCTCACCTTCGCGGAAGGAAAAGTGCACATGCTTACTGCATTGGCCGGAATCGTGTAAGGCCGAAGTTAGAGATTCAGCCCCTTTTAGCGATAAACTAACCTGCTACTTTAGCATATGCCGGCCATTTGCGGTTTCACACCTGGCACACTTGTACGGCTCCCTGGTCACATAGTATTCTCACCGCCCCTTGTGACAGCTCCGATATTTCCAGAGCAAGTGCAGGAGTCCAAAATATGGACTGGGTAAGCCAATAGTAAAATCTACCTGTCACGCACACCTTGTCGTTAGAATTTCGAGAAATTCCCAGCGCCCTATTGATTGCTTGACGTGAGTAGGAGCCTTTAGGCTGCCTTGCAGTACTGGGCTGAAAGTTTTCTGCTTTGCTTCTGTAGAAAACGCGCTATCAACTACTGAAATAGTGTGAGGCCACGAAGAAAGCTGAATCTTTTAGCATCTCTGCACATGTAGAGCTGCGTATTGTGAATGTTTTCACAAGCATAAAGACGATTTCATTCCGTGCAGGCCTGGAGTAGCTTGCCTCTCCACAAAGTTCTTGCACGAATTTCATGTGGAGAGGCGGGCTATTTCAGGCCTGCACTGGCTGAAATCGTTTATATGCTTGTGGCAACATTCACAATAAGCAGCTACATAGGAAAAACTAAATATCAATTTTTAAGCTGGTATTGTGCGTGTTTGTGGAGTGTTCGTCGCGGTGGTTGGCTGGGTCAGAATTGCACTGTGTCTGCGTTTCGTGTCAACGAAGGTTCTTTTCACGGGGATACTTGCACGTAGCCGCTTTCAACCGCATATATTTCTCTTCATTTGCCGCATTCAACGGGGGGCGCAACGTCGTGGGCACCGTGGCCAGCTTATTAAAATTGCTTGCGAGCGGAAGTCACATGCCTACCAAAGTGTATGTAGCCCGGAACAAAGCGGTTGTTTGGTCCCTATTTTCTGGGTGTGCGTCAGAAAGGAATATTAAGAGAGAAATAAATCGTGGGAGCATTTGGTCAATGACTGGCTGTTACAAGCTCTTCTCGAGGCAGTCCTGCTGCTGAAGTGTGGTGCCAGGGAAACAACGGTGCTGAAAGCCCGTTCTTTCAGAGCATTCTGCGGGTTTTAAAACCTGTAAATTAAACAGAGTTACAAAATTCCAGAAGTTTACTTGTGAGAGAGCGACTAATGGATGGAGTCGGTTTCAGACTGTCGGATGCAGCAGTCAGAGACTGCTTGGATCTACAAGGATTTTTTCAAGTGTTCTATCGTGTAAGCCGTGTTAAGAAGCATGGCCATTTTACTCACCTTCTAATGCTTTTCTTGAGACATAAATTTTACCGGTTACAAAGATATTTATTTTCAACATTTGCACGCTGACCACCTCATATCCTGTCCATATAGTGTGTGAGCGTCGGCAGTACTACCTCACCGACCCTCCGACGCCACAAGTGGGCAAGAGGACCTTCTCCTTCATCTACCGGCTGTAATGTCGTACTTTGACTTTTCAGGTATTTTGTTTTTTCGTGTGACAATTTCTTCATCCGGGATATTTAATGGACCAGTCAACAGAGATGTTCCGAATGAACTTGGCAACTTTCCTCAGCGTTTCGCTGCTGTGGTTGAGCGAGAAGAGCTCACAAGCAGCTGCAGCAACTACCGTAAAGTATACGGCAAAGCTTGGTAAGCCCTTAATCTGGGGTGCTTCGCCGAGTTTCTACTTGAATTTGACTTTGTTGCGGCCCACGGCTGGGGCCGGGCGTCAACTCTAACAATTTTGCTGGTGCACTTGAAAATGTGCTTAATCCCGTATGCAAAAGCGTAACGAAGAACATACAGAAAAGAATGGGGGTGTCCGGAGTCAATGGTTGCAGGTAGCTCTGTCGAATGTCTTGGCGAAGTCAACAACGCCCGTCAGGCAGCTGGATTAGCTAACTTCATTAAGGCAACAAATGACGGAGACAAAATATCTGATCCTGGATCCGCGGATTTAACTGATGGCGACTGGAAAGAGATTTGTGAATATTTGGTACCTGTAAGGCGCTGAGCATTACCTGAACTCATTTGCGTTAGCTTCATCGCGTGCACTAGCGCTGTTTTCATTTCTTTCTTCCTTCTCTCAGACGCAACCCGAAGCACATAGTTCCCAAGCGGCTACAGAGACTTTCAAGGATGGAACGTATGCTTTCAAGGCCCTTACTGCCGAGCAACCAAACTGCACTGAAACTATCGATTACTGGAAGGCAGCCTACAAAAACTTCACTGGACTGCCACCATCAAAGAAGGGAGCTGGAAAATTGTACGAGAATCAAGACAACGTTTCCTTTGTAGCCCTGTACAACGCTTCATCTAATGCCACTGCAGACTGTCGAGTTGTTACTTGTACTCAAAAGACGTCTGCTGCTGCCGTTTCGGCTAGCGTGTCAAGTGGCGACAGCGGCGATACCACGAAATTGGGCTACGCTTTGATTTGCAAGACAATGCCCACTGCCTTTGGAAATGGCAGCATCGCTCCATTCACGTAAGCACACTCCGGTTCTTGTGTCGCAGTGCCACCCACATCGCCTTTATTGTTTTAAATTGGACTGAACTGCAGCCATGCAATTGTGGGCGGTTGACAGGCAAGAGCAATGGGACAAGATCAAATATTCCCTCACAGGTTCCGCGTCAATAGCAGTTCCAAGCCTGGTTGCTCTCGTCATTGTGGCATTCGGCATTACGGCTCTATGATGTTTGTCGCAGTCAGCTGTAAAATACTGCGTGCATTGTTGTTCGACGAAAACCCGATGCAAAGATAAAACTCTGCGCACTGGCCTAACGAAAAGGTCTTAAAATTTGAAAAACCATTTCTTAATAACCTACTGCCGTTTCTTCCGCATGCTTGTAGCTCACCTTCGCGGAAGGAAAAGCGCACATGCTTACGGCATTGTCGGGAATCGTGCAAAACTAAGTTTAGAGATTTGGGCCCTTTTAGTGATAAATCATGCCTGCTATTTTAGCATATGCCGGTCACTCGCTGCTTTTCACCAGGCACAGTTCTCCGATCCGTGATCAAAGTAATATTCCCACCAAATGGAAAATCCTGATTGGGAGGACTTTGACTGATACTGATACTGAAGATGGACTAGGTGAGCCAGCAGTGACATTTAGCTGCGCCGCAGAGCTTGTCGCCGGAATTTCGAAGCATTTCCAGCACCCAAGTGATTGCCCCGCATACGTTGGAGCTTCTAGACCGAATTGTGGAACTTGGCGAGAGGTTTTTTTTTAATTTCATAAACCATTCCCTCTCTCACTGAAATAATGTGAGGCCACGTAGGAAGCTCCACCTTTCAGCTCCTGCACACACTAAGTGAATTTGTTGTGGAGAAACGAGTTACCCTAGGGTTGCACGGGGTGAAATCGTCCTTATGCTTGTGGGAACATTCACAGTGTGCAGCTACATAGAATAAAGTGTGATCAGTTTTGAGCTGGGACTGTAGGCTTTTGTGGAGTATTCGTGTTGTGGTTGGATGGGTTAGCATTCCACTTTCTCCACTTTGCGTGGAGAAAGTTTCTTTCCATGGGGATACTTGCTCGCAGCCACTTTCAACAGCACATTTCCCCACTCATTTTCCTCACGCAATTGTGGGTGCAACGTCCTGCGCACTCATCAAAGCCAGTGTATTTGAAATTGCCTGGTAGTTGAAGTAACATGCCTGCCAAAGTTTGTATAGCCTGGAGCGAGGCGATTGTGCAGGGTTTAGGGCTGACTGGGTATGCATTGGAAAGGAATATTTATAGGCAAATGTATCGTGGAAGTATTTGGCCAATGATTGACTTCTGCAGGTTCTTCTCAAATCAGTCCCCGCCCGTTTCTGCTGACGTGCGGAAAGCTCTCTCGTTGAGAGCATTCTGCGGGTTGTGAAACTTGCAGACTAAACCAATTTGCACTACTTCGTAAATTAATTGATGGTAGAGGGACTGATAGAAGGGGTCGGTTTCAGGCTGTCGGCTGAAGTAAATCCCTTGGCGTGAAAGACTCCTTGGATCTAGAGGGAAAGCTTTTTTAAGTGTTCTATTACGCGCATAGTGCTATGTTATGCGACATTTATACTCACACTTTAATGTGTTTCGTGAGACACAAGCATTATCGGTTATTGTGACACCCATTTTCAACATCTGCTGGCTCACCACCTCAAATTTTCTCCATACATAGTCTTGTGTGAGCGTCGGCAGTCCTAGCTCACCGACCATCTTCAACGCGGCATTGAGGCAGACACAAAAGCAGCTTCTCCTTCGTCTTCCAACTGTAGCTTTATTTTTTCTCACTTTTCGGATATTATGTTCCTTCAAGCAACTGTTTTTACCCGTGTTAAACTTGAAGGGCGAGCCGGCGGAGATGTTCCGTGTGAACTTGGCGTCTTTCCTCGGCGTCTCGCTGCTGGTGTTAAGTGAGAAGAGCTCAGAAGCAGCCGCGGGAACTACCGTAAATTATACAGCAAAGATTGGTAGGTAGTCTTGGCTGTCTCACCCATTTTCTACTGGAATTTGACTTTGTCGTGGCCCACGTGGGGCTCGGCGTAAACTCCAAAAATCTTCCGTGTGCTCATGAGATCGTGCTTAACCTCATGCTTAAAAATATAACAAAGAAGAGAAAATGGGGGCTTTCGGACTCAATGTTTACAGGTGGTTCTGTCGAATGCCTTGGCGAAGTCAACGCTGCCCGTGAGGCAGCTGGATTCGCCAACTTCATTAAGGCAGAAACTGAGAAAGAAAAAATTACCGACCCTGGTTCCACAGAGCTTCCTGAAGGCGGATGGAAAGATCTGTGTGAACATTTGATACCAGTGAGTCGCCAAGCAGGCTGCGGGAAGGCTTCATTTCATTAGCCTCATCCTGTGCACTAGTGCTGTCCTCATTTATTGGTTACTCCTATCAGGCGCCCCCTGAAGCATATAATGCTCAAACATCGGCAGAGGCATTTCAAGATGGAACGTATGCTTTCAAGTCCCTAGCTGACGCCGACCCCAATTGCAAGGAAACTGTTGATTACTGGAAGGCAGCCTACAAAAATTTCACTGGACTGCCGCCATCAAAGAGTAAAGATGAAAAATTGTACAACAATCAAGACAACGTTTCTTTTGTAGCCCTCTACAATCCTTCATCTAATGCCACTGCAGACTGCCGTGTCGTCACTTGCACTCAAACGAATACCACTACTCCACAGCCTGACACCGTGTCACGCGACGGAAACACCGAGGCCACCAAAAAAGGCTATGCGCTGATTTGCAAGACGACACCTGCTGCTTTTGAAAATGACGCCTCTGCTCCATTCACGTAAGTAACACTTTGGTCCTTTTGTCGCGGCGCTGCCCACGAGGTCGTGATCGCTATGAATTGGACTGCATAATCCACATGCGGTTGCTGGGGTCCCGCAGGCAGGAGCAGTGGGACAAGATCAGATCTTCGCTCACAGGATCCGCATCAGTAGCAGCTCCAAGCCTAGTTGCTCTTGCCATTGTGACATTCGGCATTACGACTTTATGATGTGTCGTGCTATCACCTCAGAACTACCACCTGCACCTTTTTCTGCCTAATTTCTGGTGCCGTCGTAAGATGTGGCACATGCGCCGACCATGAAGACTTTTCACTTTTATCTCAAACCATCGTTTGGCAAGCTTTTTCCGGCTCAGCCGCACAATTTCATCGCAGCTCTGCGTGATGCAAAATGTGCATGCTTGCAGCATTAGCTAGGCTAGTGAGCGGTAGATGCTTTACCTTTACCTTGCTGTTCACTCCGTAGTGAAGCTTACACTGCTTGCGTTTGGTAGTACGGAGACGGGAACTCAGCCAGCTCCTGCAAATGAACCCTGCTATGCTATACACAGTCCAAACTACTTTTAAGAAGTAGCATCATCTGAATCATCACAAAATATAGATGGGTCTTACTGAGTTTGCTGCAGGGGACAGCGTCAAGTGCCTTAGTGAGGTCAACGCTGCGCGTGAGGCAGCTGGGCTGCCCAACTTCGCAGAGGCTTCAGCTGACAAAAAATTAAAAGATCCATTAGAAGCTTGAAGAAGGCAGCGAGTGGAAAAAACTTTGCACATATTTGATTCCAGTAAGTGGCGCAAAATATAACTGAAGTCACGATCACCAAAGCTGTCCTCTAGTGTACCATTATTTTCTTCCTTTGCTCAGACTCAAGGAACGCAAGAAGCAGCTAAGTCACGCTCAACGAATCCTTTTGAAGAAGGAACATATGCCTTCAAGTCCCTAGCTGACGCGGAACCCAATTGCAAGGAAACAGTTGATTACTGGAAGGCTGCCTATAAAAACTTCACTGGTCTTCCGCCACCAAATACAGAAGGCGAAAAACTGTACAAAAATCAAGACAACGTTTCTTTCGTAGCCCTCTACAACCCTTCATCTAGTGCCACTGCAGACTCCCGTGTCGTGACTTGTACTCAAACGACTACCTCTACTACAGGTGGGGGGGCGGAATCAACTTACGCGGAAGGCAACACTACAAAAAATGGCTATGCATTGGTTTGCAAGACGATGCCTGCTGCTTTTGGAACTGGAAGCTCCGCTCCATTCATGTAAGCAACCCTCTGGTCCTTGCGCCGCAGTCCTACCCACAATGTCTTGATTGCTGTGAGTTGGGTTGAATATTCTCTACGGGATTGCGGGTGCCTTTCAGGCAGGAGCAGTGGGACAGGATCATATCTTCTCTCACAGGCTCGGCATCGATGGCAGTTCCAAGCTTTGTTGCTCTTGCCATTGTGACGTTCGGCATTACAACTTTGTGATGCTTTATACTGCCAGCTGAAAAGTATAACCTGCACCGTATTCTGAGTGAGTCTGGGCGCAAATGTGAGATGTGGCACGCGCCAGCCACCTAGGCTTTTCGCATTCTTGAAATCATCATTTTGCGGGCTTCTTCCAATGCTGCTGCCCAGTTTGATCGCAGCTCCGCTAGTTGCGAACTGTATGCGCTTAAAGCATTTTTTGGCATTATAAGAAGCCGATATTCCTAGTTTTAGCTTTCTTTAATGACGAATTTCGCGTGCTGTCGTAGCTTCTCTCGATCATTTGCTAGTTTTGGGATAGATAAAGGGAAACCAGATGATACCGGCTTATTAGGTGGCATGCAAGTATGTGCCATTGCTCGATTAGTAAGCTTAATCATAGAATAAAGATGCTTGTGGCGCCCCTGATGTTTCTAGAAGTAGCACAATGGGTTTGGACGCAGTGTGGACTGCCGGTGCTGGCAGCGGCATTCGCCGGCCCAATGCACTTCGTTGTTGGAACAGCACGCTGCCTACCAGGGACTTGTGGCAACTTTTGGGCTCCTTTGTAATGCTGGTAGAAGGCCCTCTGCACAATTCCAGAGGGCGCCAGCCCTCCGCCGTCGGTATGGGGCAATACAACATGTGGCCACGCAGGAACCGACGGCCTGCGCGCTCTACTGTGGCATCTCTGCACTTCATTTGAAATTTCTTTTGGCTAGATCACGTGCTCTGGCCATATATGGGCTAGGTGCTTCGGGCCTGCTTAGCCTCTGAGCAAGGACAGTGGCGAACAAACTACCGAAGATATCGACAATTACCTTGAAACCAGTTACTCATTTACCACTTCGTGCTCAGAAATACCGCACATGATAATTAAAGCTAAAGAAGTATTTGCTTTCGCTTGCAGAGTAGGGCATGCACAGAAATACACGCATCACCCGTTGATGCGAAACTGACGCTCAGGTGGCTGCAGTTTTGTTGGCGAGGTGTTTTTCGTTTTAGTTTCCGCATACTCAGGCTGCCCCATCTTTCCACAGCGCTATGTTTTTTAATTCGTATTTTGGTTGAATTTCAGGTGATGCAGGTGGGCAAGCACGAATCTCGAGCTGAGTCCTGCCCGATATCGAATAGTCTGGCGTTCCCAGAGACACCTACAGCAGCAGCAGTCACAATGTCGGCTACCAGCAAAAGTTTCTTTCGCACTACATTCGATGGAAGCTTTGCTTTGTAAGGTTTTCCTTGCAATTTTTTCCCGGCCGTGACATTTCCAAATCAACACCTCAAGGAAGCTTCATTGGGACCTACCATCACTTCCCAAGATCTCATTCCTGGTGCTGAATGTCTCAACCATGATCAGCTCATAAGGCAGCCACTCAGGAAAAAGTACAATGGATCTCTTGGTAAGTAATAAGGCTTTTCCCCGCTGTTCACTCCTTACTTCAGCTTAGGCTGGCTTGCATTTGGTGGGTCCGAGTGAACTATGGGAGGTGAGTTCTGCTACACGACTCTCGGTCCATTCAACTTTCCAAGAACTAGGCTCAAATAATGCAACAGAAATACATGGGTGTGTCTGAACGCAATTGCTGCAGGCAAAAGCATTGTGTGCCTCAGCGACGTCAACGCCGCACGCGAGGTAGCTGGGTTGCCGACTTTGCAGAGGCTGCAGAGGGAAATAGACTAAGTGATCCAAAAGCAGAGCTAGAGAGCGAGTGCAAAACGTGTGCGAATATATGATCTTACTCAGCGCCTCACAATATTTCGTGAGTAAAGACCCCTAAGGCTATCCTGCGCATGCTTTTCCTTTCTCTCTGATACAGCAAACGGAAACCTAGGCTAAGTCAAGCTTAACGAATCCCTTTGAGGCCGGAACATATGCTTTCAAGTCCTTAACTGCCGAGCAACCCAACTGCAAGGAAACAGTTGATTACTGGAAGGCAGCCTACAAAAACTTCAATGAGCTCCCGCCATCAAAGAACGAAGCTGGAACACTGTACCAATAGCCAAAACAACATTTCTTTTGTAGCCCTGTACAACCCTTCATCTAATGCCACTGCAGACTGCCGAGTCGCAACTTGCACTCAAGCGACTACCTCCACTACACATCCTGTAATGGCAACAACGGATGGGGGCGATAACACCACGGAAAAACGCTACGCGCTGATTTGCATGACGATGGCTGCTGCTTTTGGAAGTGAAACGTCTGCTTGATTCACGTAAGCAAGTCTTTAATCCTTGCGTCGCAGTGCTACTTACGCGGTCCTAATTGCTGTGAACTGGACTGCATAATGCTTACGCGGCTGCCAGTTTTTCGCAGGCAGGAGCAGTGCGACAGGATCATTTCTTCCCTCACAGGCTCCGCGTCGATAGCAGCTCCAAGCCGGGTTGCTCTTGTCATTGTGACATTCGGCATTACGAGTGTATTATCACACGTCAACCAAGAAGACTTTTCACATTTTTCTCAAACTATCACTTCGCAAGAGTGAATGCGGAAAAAAGAGACAGCGGCTAAGACAAGCTCAGCGAATCCCTTTGAAAAAGGAACGTATGCTTTCAAGTCCCTAATTACCGAGCAACCCAACTACAAGGAAACAGTTGACTACTGGAAGACAGCCTACAAAAGCTTCACAGGACTCCCGCCATCAAAGAAAGAAGCTGGAACACTGCACGATGATCAAGACAACGCTTCTTTTGTAGCCCTGTACAACCCTTCATCTAATGCCACTGCAGACTGCCGAGTCGTCACTTGCACTCAAACAACTACCACTACTGCAACGCCAGGAGCTCTAATGGCAACAGCGGAGGGGAGCAGCGAGACTACGAAAAAAGGCTACGCTTTGCTTTGCAAGACGATGCCTGCTGGCCTTGCAAGCGACGCCTCCGCTCCATTCACGTAAGTAACACGTTGGCCTTTCCGGCACAGATCTGCTCACGAGGTTCTGAATGCCGTATTTTCGAGTGCATAACGCCCACGTGGTTGCTGGGGTTTTGCAGGCAGGAGCAGTGGAAGAAGATCATTTCTTCGCTCACAGGTTCCGGGTCAATAGCAGCTCCAAGTCTGGCTGCCCTTGCCATTCTCACTTTCGGCATTATGATTTTATGTTTCGTGCCCTCATCTGGGAACTACCACCTGCATCGTGTTCTGTCTGATCGCTGTTGTCGTTGTGAGACGTGGCACACGCATCAGCCAACAAGCCTTTTCGCATTTTGCCCAAACAATCACTTTGCAAGCTCGTTCCAGCTCACCCGCACAATTTCATCGCAGCTGTGCGTGATGCAGGCCGTGTATAGTTGCAGCCTTACCTGGGATTCTGAGGGGCAGATGTTTCAAGTTCCAGCTCTCTTGAATGAGAAATTATGCCTGCCACTGTAGCGACAGTCAATTATTTGCTGATCCCCGTATGAAGAAGAGGAATGTAGATGCTTCTGGGTTATACGGCAGCACGTTAGCGTGTCTCCTTGCCCAGTTAGTAAACTGGCCAATAGCATAAAACTACTTGTGTTGCCTTTGATGCTTCTAGTGGGATTTTGACGGGTGTGGAGTCATTTTGTTCTGCCTCTGCGGTGCAGGGAACAGCTATGACCTGCCATACACACTGCGTTACTGAAACTTTCGAGGAGCCAGTTGACCACCGGGCATTTGCATTAGCTGCTAGGCTGTGTTATGGTGTTGGCAGAAGACGCTTTTTTCGAGCTTAGGGGAACCTGCTCTTTGTCACGGGGAATAGGCAAAAGGGACTGAGGCGACGAGGAAACCAACACCTTGCCTCCTCTAGCGTTTCCTTTCTTCTTTAAATTCAAAATTTAGTTTGGATAGGTTTGCTATTTCGGGCGACTAGGGAGTGTGCACTCCCGGCCTGTCACGCCGCGCAAGAAATACCGGTTCCGCACCAGCTCCCTTCGAGATCAACAGACAGCTTGAAACCTGTAAATCAATTACCATTTTGGGTTCACAACTTTTATGAGTCGATGATAAAGTTATATATTGACTAGATGCCTCCCGCGGAATAGGATATGCACAGTGTTGTGTGCGCTTGGCCTTCTCGTGAGGATCTAGTGCTCAGGGGACCACAAAGATTTGGGGCAGCGCCTTCGTTTAATTCCCCCCCTCACACTCACATTCGCGGACATTTTCGAAACAATATAATTTTCAATTGACAACTTGACTGGATTTCAAGCGATGCAGCTCTGCAGGCATAGATCTAAGGTTCCGCGCTGCACGTTCTTCACGCCGGCACTGCTCGCCAACGGATCTGCAAGGAGGCACTGACTCCAGCAACGAACACAACTATCGCCGCTAATATAGCTTCGTTCGGCACTCACTTAGCTGAAAGCTTCGCTTTTTCAAGGCTCTCCTAATTTTTTTGCAGCCGCAATTTTTGAAGGTCACTCCTCAAACATGCTTCATTGGAGCCTACCATTAGTTCTCTGCATTTGGTTATTGGTGCTGAGTGCCTCAGCTCTCGGTGCCTCACCAGGAGGCGGACCAACTATCAAGTATACTGCAAGTCTCGGTAAGTAGTTTGCCTTTGCCCAGTTGTTCACTTCACACTGCAGCGTAGGCTGGCTTGCCTTCAGTAGACACGATCTCAGGCGACTTTTACAAGTGAGTACTGCGTCATTCTTTTTTCCATTCTATTTTCCAAGGGGTATCATGGACTGAAACACCACAAAATATAGTTGTGCCTTACTGCAATCGCCGCAGGGCAAAGTGTCGAGTGCCTTAGCGAGGTCAACGCTGCGCGTGAGGCAGCTGGGCTGCCCAACTTCACAGAGGCATCAGATAACAATAAATTAACTGACCCAAATGGAACAGAGCTGGACGACGCCAACGACTGGAAAAAAGTTTGCACACATTTGATTCCGGTAAGCGGAACAAAATATGATCAATGCCGCAACAACGAAGGTTATCGTATATTGTAACATTATCTTCTTCCTTTGCACAGACCCAAGCACCGAAAACAATGGCGGCCTCTAGCTCACTGAAACCATTTAAAGACGGAACATATGCTTTCAAGTCCCTAACCGCCGCGAAGCCTGACTGCAAGGAAACGGTTGATTACTGGAAGGCAGCCTACAAAAACTTCACTGGCCTTCCGCCGCCAAAGACTGACAACGAAACACTCTACAAAAATCAAGATAACGTTTCTTTTGTTTCCCTGTACAACCCTTCATCTAGTGCCACTGCAGACTGCCGAGTCGTCACTTGCACTCAAACGACTACGTCTACTACAGGTGGTGCAGGTGGTGGGCAGCTCTCAACTTCTGCGGAAGACGGAACTACAAAAAATGGCTATGCGTTGATTTGCAAGACGATGCCTGCCGTTTTTGGAAGTGATGGCTCTGCTTTATTCACGTAAGCAGCACGCTGGTCCTTGAGTCGCAGTGCTGCCCACAACGCCTTCATTGCCGTGAGTTGCAACGAATCTTGTCTAGATAATTGCGGGTGGTTTTCAGGCAGGAGCAGTGGGACAGGATCGTATCTTCCCTCACAGGTTCCGCATCGACAGCAGTTCCAAGTTTTGTTGCTCTTGCCATTGTGATATTCGGCATCACGACTTTATTATGATGCTCGTCCTACCGGCTGGAAAGTGCAACCTGCGTCGTGTTGTGTTTGATTTTTCAAGCAATTTTGGGGCATAGCATATATTCCGACCAGGAACCATTTTCGTGCTTTCTTAAACCATCGCTTCATAGACTTCTTCCACTGCTGCCCAACAGGTTAATCGCAGCTCCGTGAGATGCAAGCTGTATATGCATACAGCATTTTCTAGGATGCTGAGATACCTATGTTTGCAACTTCGGCTCTTTTCAATGACAAACTGTGCTGTTACTGGGGCGCCTGCCAATCATTCGCTGATTCTGTGGTAGAGAAAGGGAAATGAGATGATGCGGGGTTTGTATGCTGGCATACTAATTTGGCCCTCGGCCAAATACTTTCCATGTAGAATAAATAGGATTATTTATCAAGTCTACTGTTTCTCGAGGTAGTATGATGTGTTCGGAGGCAATATGGAGTACCTTTGTCAGCAGTGGCATTAGCCTGACACACACGCTTCGATGTTGGAGCAAGAAATCCGCACATCAGTCAGCAGTTTCTAGGTTGCTTTGTGTTTGTTAGCGGAGGGCACTCTACGAAACTGCATAGGGAGTCCAGTTACCGGGACGAGACAAAACAACATGTAGCCGCGAGAGAACCGACACCTTTATGTATGTAGGGCTTCAGTTCTTCGACTTGCTTAGCTGCAGACAGGACTGGCGGACAAGCTCCCGTCGAGATCAACATGCAGCATGCTCCAGCCAACTCGTTTACCATTTTGATCGAGGGTTTGGTGCTTCCCGTTCGCAGAGGGCCAGTGGTCACAGCTGATCCCCTCGAATGATTGAACTCAGCGTGAGTCAAGGTGTTGAGTCCCAAAAGAACTTCCTTTTGCGCAACCTTGCCATTTCTTGACCTTCTCTGGAAGCCTTCCGTTTTTATAGTCTCTCTTGTAAGTTTTTCATACCCGTAATTTTTACAGCCAACACTAGATGATGCTGCAGTGGAACCTATCATTACTTCTCAGGATTTCATTTTTGATGCTGAGCGCCACGACTCTGGCCAGCTCACAAGAAACTGAAGAAACAGTCACGTACACAGCATCTCTCGGTAAGTGATTCACCTTCACTCTGTCCCCCTTTCTATACTGAACCTTAGGGTGCCCTATGTTTGGCCGCACAGAGACAGTTTCCGGGTCAATTTCTGCCTGTGACCTCCAATCCACAGCTCTGAGTCCATTCTACTTTTCAAAATATAGGATCAACGTATATGCGAGAAAAATATAGGAATGTCCAATGCAATTGCATTGCTGCAGGGAACAGCTTCGAGTGCCTCAGCGAGGTCAATGCCGCGCGTGAGGCAGCTGGGTTGGCCAACTTCAAAGAAATGGGAGAGGAAGACAAATTGAGCAGTCCGCAGCCACCAGATCTAGAAGATGGCAGCCAGTGGAAAAAGCTTTGCGAACACTTGATCCCAGTAAGTGGCGCAAAAATAATTCCAGGGACACGATCACCACGGCTATCCCCCACTGTAACACTTCCTTCTTCCTTCTGTCTGACGCAGAAAACGGAAACCGCAGCTCAGTCAAAATCAACGAATCCCTTTGAGGCCGGAACATATGCTTTCAAGTCCCTAACTGCCGAGCAACCCAACTGCAAGGAAACGGTTGCTTACTGGAAGGCAGCCTACAAAAACTTCACTGGACTCCCGCCATCAAGGAAGGAAGCTGGAACACTGTACAATAAACAAGACAACGTTTCCTTTGTAGCTGTGTACAACCATCTTATGCCACTGCAGACTGCCGAGTCGTCACGTGCACTCAAACGAATACCTCTACTGCAGGACCTGTAGAGGTGACAACGGATGGGGGCAGCGCGACTACGAAAAAAGGCTACGCGTTGCTTTGCAAGACGATGCCTGCTGCCTTTGCAAGTGACACGTCTGCTCCATTCACGTAAGTAACACGGTGGCCTTCCCGTCACGGATCTGCTCAAGAGGTTGTGATTGCCGTATTTTCGGGTGCATAATGTCCATGCGGTTGA